AATCGGCATCGCTATACCTAGCAAGATTGACACTAGTGTCATAGGTATACCACAAACCAAAATCAATGGTTCTACTAACATATTTTATGATTCTTTTGACAACAAACATATGAGACTTTTTGGGATCACTTTGGAACCTAGCACAAACTCCTATACTATTAGAAATGTCAGGTCTACTTGCAATCAAGTAGAGAAGGCTTGCTATCATGCTTCTATAGAGAGTTTTCAACCGGGACAGATGAGTTGGGATTCTAAGGTTGATTATGACAAGTTGACAGGTCAACTGGAACAAAATTGTCAGGAGTTGATAGGTCAACCGGTTTGCTAAAGGTTAACAGGTCAACCACTAGATCCAGACTTGAAGATTTTCCCTCAAGCATAGGAGATAAAAGACTAATGATGGTTCCGGTCCTATAATTGTATACTCTATAGGCTCGACTTGAAGTGGAATACCCAAGAAAAATTTCTTTCTCACTTTTAGAGTCAAACTTAACAAGGTGTTCCCTATCTCTTAAGATATAACATGTGCTACCAAAGACTCTAAAATAAGACACATTAGGTTTCTTACCTTTCCAAAGCTCATAAGGAGTTTGTTTGGTACCATACCTCAAAAACACCCTGTTTGAGATATAACAAGTTATATTTACAACTTCAACCCAAAAATGTTCAACAAAATTTTTGTTGTTGAGCATCACCCTAGCCATCTCAAGAAGAACTCTATTTTTTTCTCTCCACAACACCATTTTGCTGAGGTGTAGTAGATGCAGAGAACTCATGCTTAATTCTCATCTCCTCACAAAATTTCAGAAATTGAGAATTCACAAACTCATAACCATGATCTGTTCTAATTCTAACAAGTGGCAGATGACTAGTCATCTTAATTTTTTGTAAAAGATAGCAAACATATTTAAACCTTTGAAAGGTTTCTGATTTTTCAAGCAAGAATGAGACCCAAATAAACCCAAAGAAGTCATCTACAAAGACTATGATGTATTCCTTGCACCAAGGGAAAAGGTTTGGACAAGATCAACAAGATAAATGCGAACAAGTTCAAAAGAACATGAAATTTTGTTGATCACCCAAGATTCGAGAGCACTGTGAGAGAGATGATTGAAAGAAAATGACCATGCAATAAAAAAAAAAAAAAAAAAAAAAAAAAAAAAAAATGCATATGCATGACAATGTATCTAGACTCCATGAAGCACACACAAACAAGAGAATGGTTTAGATACATATGATAAAGAAACTAGTCACCAACATGAGGAAGAACATGGTCTTCCTTCTTAATCCAAACTTGCTTCACTTTTGAGACTTTATGAGGCAAAGAGATCACCTTAAGAATTTTGACAACTTTATAAAGAAGATCATTCACTTGAGTTTGAAGTGAGTTATCATTTACTTTCTTGAAATGAACAAAAGGCTTTCGCTCAAAATTCCTAAGCTCAAAACATTTTGGTCTAATGTGTCTTAATGTACCACAATGATGGCATATAGGAATGAACCTTTTTGGTTGTTGAAAACCAAATTTTGCAAGTGAAGAATGTTTATCACTTGTACAAACCACAGACTTTGCAGCCGCATACCCCTTAAAAGATGACACATGAGTCTTAAACTCACTTTCTTTGGAAACTTGAGACTCAATCCTAAGGATATGACACCTAGGTCGAATGTGTCCTTTCACACCACAATGGTGGCAGGTAGGCACAAATTTGAACTATGGAGGAGACAACTTTCCCTTAGAAACAATATTCATGGAATCGAAACCCAAGTTGAGACCATGAACAAATTTTGGAGCTTCTTAAGTTGACACATCTTTGACAAAGATTGTCTCAAATGATGAAGGTGTAAAAGACTCATTTATATATCATAAACCTCTTTTATCACCAAACAATTTTCCAAAATTGGGCATTTTATCAATCTTTCCAGCACTAATGGTTAAAACTTGAATCTTTTCTTTTTCCAACTTAAGTTCATGTTCCAATCTTATATTTTCAAATTGTAAAGCATCAAAAGATTCAGATTGTTTAACCATGTTGTTTTAAAGTGATTTTATCATCTCAAACAAGTTTTGAACCTTAATGTCTTTCTCAAATAACATGCATTGCAAAACAGAATTTTCAACCACAAACTTATCATGCATGACTACCTTTTCATGCTCAACTAATGACTTTTCAAACTCAAATAAAATCAGTCCATGAAGAAACAAGGATTTTTCATTTTCAAGTACATTCAACTTCTTAATCAAATCAGAATTTTTTTTTCAAGAGTGCTAACTTTATGATACAATTCATACGTGTCAACTTCATTCTCATCGAAGTTATCACTCAACTTTTTTTTTGCCATTTTGAGAGTTTCATTCAATTCATCAAGTTCCTTGACCTTTTCTTCCATCATGTGATTCTGTTATTTGAAATTACAGGTTTCATTGAAAAGCATATCATACTTTTCACATAGTTCCCTGTATGACTGGTCATCCTGTTCCTTGTATGACTGGTCATCTTGTTCCCTATATGACTGGTCATCCTGCCTATATGACTGGTCATCCTGTCTATCATCTCCAGACACACATTCTTCCTTAATTACATGAACTCTAGTAAGGCTAGAGTTATGAACAGAACCAAGAAGGGCAAAATTATTTGCCTCTTCATAAGATGAAGTGATATAGTTGTTGGAATCATCACTATCACTATCAGTCCATTGTGCACTAATTGACTCTTCTCTCTCATTAGACTCTGTCATCTGGTTATTTTCACATTCCACATCAATGTGACCATCACCGCCACATAGATAGCATTTTACAAGACCCTTCAAACTTTTGTCCTCCTTAAAGCCATAAGAGTTCAAAAAATTTCTCTCCTTAAAAACATTGTCTTGAGACACACATGTAGACAAACTAGGAAGATTTGACAATTCCTAGTGACTTTGGTTTTATCTTTGACAACCTTTCTATATTTCTTAACAAACAAGGCAAGCTCATCATGAATGCAATGAGTAATTTGATTCATTTTTATATTTACACACCTAATACCAATTAGCACCCAAAGGATCTCTCTATTTATTTAAGAGCTGGTACTCTAATACCAATTGAAATTGGTACTTAAGTGACAATGGGTTAATTTTACGACATTTAAACAAAACGCAACAATCTTCACACACTTTAGACCTTGACCAAAAACACTTATGACTAGTCACATGGTAGTCATGAACAGCCACAATCCAGAATACACACAGAGTATGCCACAATATACTTGCAACCCAAGAAGATTACTAGTGACAAATTATGCACTGAGAAGGACCCGTCAATCTAGATATCCCCTGTGCTAGCAACAACTATGGTGAAAGTGTGTGAAATCATCATAATCAAGTAAACACCAAACAACATATAATGATGAGTAGTCAACTACAAGGACTCAAACCCAGAATTCATATGATGACTAGTCAACCACCAAGAATACAAACCCAGAATTCATACGATGACTAGTCAACCACCAAGAACACAAACACAGAAAAATTACAGAGATGCAATCAGAAATTATTCACCCAGAAACCCACAATTAGGAAAAACTGGGGGTCATCAACCGACCAAGCAATCCACTAAGTAGAAAAAGATTATTACAAAGGAACACAAGCAAGCTCAAGAAAAACCTAGATTTATTTAGGAAGATGAGCTATGATTGCTTTGTAAGTATCCAATTCAAGAATTCAATCCCTTATTTCGCATTTGGGTTTTAAGGTTTATTTTATTTTTGCAGAATCTGGGTTGGTTTGTCTCCTCTCTCTCTCCCTCTTCGTTCCAGTAACCCTCTCGCTCTTGGTTTCTATCAATTCCTAAATGCCAATTTGTTTTTTCTTTAAATATGTTTCCTGATGAATTTTTCTGTATTTGTTCTGAAAATGGGTATATTGTTGTTGGTTCATTGTATCTTGTTCTGAAAAAAAAAAATTGGGTATATTGTTCTTGGTTCATTGCCCTTGAAAGTTTGTGAATCTCTTTTGTTTGATTGTGCAGTGAATTTTTTTTTGGGATAGGATTGTTAAAGTTGGCTTGCCATAGATGTGAAAGGAGGAAAAAGAAATGGTAGAAAAATGAGTTTCAAACCAGTGCTCTGGTTCTGGCACTCGAGCAGAAGCTACAGGCGCTCGAGCGGCAAAGAGACTATTTTCTGCCCAAGCCCAGGCGCTCGAGTGGACGTCGTGAATCTAGCACGGATTCTTTGCATTTTGGGATAGTTTTTCCTATTATTTTGGGGTTTTCTCTAGCTTAATTTAAAAGGGTTTTAGTTTCCTATTCCTAGTTAACTTGTAGCAAAAGTCCTATACATTATAAATAGGACTTTTAGAGCTAGGTTAAATTATAGAGCATGTGAAGAGAGTTAGGGTAGCCAGACAAGAAAAAGAGCGCCCGATAATTTTGGCTTTTCACTATTTAATTCCACAATCTTTTGTTTCGAGTAAAATTTTAGGAAGACTTTGCAAATAAAATAAATTTTAAAAGTCTTAAAGTTAAATAGTGGAAAGTTTTTGCTCCGATCATCCAATCAAACACACACACAATCTTTATTTCAAATCATCATAAATTGACGGAATCAAGAAATACAGAGTTTATTGGCAAACAAAATGGGAAAAAAAAAACATAAAAATGAACTTGGGGAATTACAAAAGGATGCAAAGAGAAAATAAAACAAGAAAGAAAGAGGATTCCGTTAGAATAAGAAAGAGGATTACTTACACTAATTAATATTCCTTTTTCTATTTCTATTTCTTATTCTTAGCTAGTCACAGCTATTACAAGAGGATTCAGTTACTTTGGGATTTCTGCTTTGTCTTGGCATTACTTGATTTTCAATTTGAGTCAGCATATTACAAAATCCAAATGTTATCTTATACGGTTGAGAGTTTAAAAACTCAAAGATATAAGATTACAATTGAATTTGTAACACAAGACTTTAAAAGTTAACCAATATCACAAGCAGCAAGAGAACTATAAGCTTATTCATTAATCAGAGGTTCTTCACAACTTGTGCTGGAATCGGTTTTCGATTTGAGCCATTGGCACCATTCTGCTCCTCCTCATCCGTTGTCGCACCGTTCTTTTGAGGTACTTGATTGATTTGTGGAGGGGGGCCTGTGGTAATAACTGGCCTGTCCTCATCCGTCACCGCATTCGTTTGAGGGGTTCTATTGATTTGTGGAGGAGGACCTGTAGTAATACCTGGCCTTCTGGATCCAGGAGCACATCTTCTAAACAAAAGAAAAAGAAATAGAAAAAGGAATATTAATTAGTGTAAGTAATTACATGTGAAATGGAACTTAAAGAAATGAGAATTACATGTTTTGTGGTTCGAATTGGAGTGGATTAGTGTGCAACGGCCACTGTTTAGTGAACTTATAAATATTAAGACTCGAACTTATTAAAATGACAACAATCTAACATATTGTGCCTTGTAAGTCCCACAGGATGAGACTCATAAGGACTAGTTTGGACTCAACTCCAATCTAGTCCAAACGGGGTAAGAAATGCCAACCTCCTTACTCATATGACCTTTAATTATAAAAAACTGCGTAAAAAAATTATGGTTTTCCAAACTCTAAATAAGAGGGGAAAATTCAGCACCAAAAGATAAAAGAAAAGATGTGGGAAAAATGACTATGTATGGGAAGACCAATCAACTTACACGATCATAAATTTCCATTGTATGGTCTTCAACATGGGAATTTGGAGCATGGCCTTTGACATGAAGCCTCTAAAAACAGCCATTTTAGCAACTAATTAGAGATATACAAAGTTTGCTATACCTTCAGATGAGCCCGAGGGGATGATTTATAGGCTGCTACTTGGAATGAATTGTAGCAGATATTGGGGTGGCAACTAGCCAAGTCGACTAATAAGACAATACGTAATAAAATCCCGGGACCAGGAATAGTGACTTAGTTGTTGAAGAGATTAATTATTTGATCTACTTACTGATCGTTAGACCGTCTTAATTCTTTTGCATGGACGACTAAGTCAAGTCACAAGTCCACACTGCTGGAAATTAATTTAAGTATCACAACTAATCTGCTGATCAGCCTCTTTTATATATGTTGTCTGACTTCTCAAATTTGGTTTGCAATCCTTTGGAGAAGTCAACAGCAACAAATTTGTTTTAGTATTTTTTCCGTTTAATACTTGTATTATATATGTACATATGTATTTTTTAATAATATTTTAGTTTTCCGTACACGTCTTAAAGATTCGGTAAAATACAATTTTTTTTAAAGCAAACATACAATACACATATTAAACACATACGTACGTATTTTTCATATTTAATACACTTTTTTTTACAAAATACAGATTAAACTCATGTATTATACAAGTATTTTTCCAATATTATTAAATATATATATTAAAATATTATACAGTGCGCGAAGTTTTAGTTGTATCTCGCCAAAATTTTGCCTAATAAAACACTTACTTATATTATTCATATTTTTCCCATTCCGTATTTTACTAATTAAACTACTAATTTTTCTTTTTCATTCTTCAAAGTTAAATATGTAGAAATTGGCAGGTAACTTTTCATAATTGAATTGATAGTAATACTAATAATGTTAAACCAAGTCAACGTGTGGATGACCCTCTTTAATCCAATAATTTTTGCTTTTTGTTTTTCTGTCGGGGTTAGTGGAAAACTTTTCAGAACTTTTCATATTCAATGTAAAGACCACTGAAATACAGATGGATCCAAGTCAACAGAATTAAGTTGGCATATCCTACGGTCCTCTTTGTTTTCCCATTGACGGCCAAAGTTTTTTAAACCATGCATGAACTGGGGAACTGATTAACAAAAATTCAGTGGTAATCCTATTTGTTTTTATTTATGATTATGACATACTGGCATTCCAAGGTTGCATATTATCGTTGTATATGTGTGAAATTTTAAAGTGCGAATTCATGATCTGGATCTTTTGTGTGGTTTGTTTTGATTAGTCTTTCCCAAGCTTTTCAAAAGCCCCATAACAGGGACTTTACTGTTAAAAGATAATTAGATCTGGATCGTATCTTTGTGCGTGGACGATTCAGTCAAGTCCAAAAAAGTTTTTATATTCTGTGAGGCCCTTGTAAAGTATGAAAATTCCGACTTTATTATTTCGATCCTACTAAGTGTTCTTCAAATAAATTTATTTCAGAAATTCCTCCATCGAAAAATTATATATCATTGGGAGAGAGGAAGGTGGGCCGACTTAACTTAATTCATTATACTCAGGCTAAAACACTTCACTAATCATATGATTATTATTTATAGGAACCATTAAACATGACATCTACCATTAATATGATTATTATTTATGCATACAATATGCTTTCTACTATTAACATGACATCTACTTTAATTGCCGTATCCTTCTCAGAAATCTTTGAGCTTCTCGTTGAGACCGCCGGATCGAAGGAAGACTTATGCATCTTACTCACAAGCTACTCTCTCTATTAAAAAGCATAGCTATTTTAGAATGTTATATATATCCCAGTTCTTCTTTGCATAGCACGTCCGTTCTTTATTAGAAGACGGATTATCAGAAAGTGTCGATATCACTGTCGGTAATATGTTTTCAATTGGTAGAACCAGTCTTTTTTGGAGTAGCAGCAACATCTTCTTTGCTTTTCTTGCCATCTTTCTGATCAGTCTTTGAGCTGGTGAGATCAGAAACATTCTGCTGCCGCAACCCCTTCGCCCCATTAATTTGTCCACCACTCCCTGTGCTGATCCTTGGCCTTTCAGCTCCACAGCTTATGGAACAACAATATACAATCCAAGATCAGTGATCAGTCAAGTACAATAATTAACCAACAAAGTAAGATGTTTATTTCTCTCTAATATAACACATATTTTCACAAATCATCATCATAATATTTATTTTATAGATAAAAGGGTCTAAGTGCAGTAATTTATTAGTGCGACGGTAACCAGGAAAAATAAAACTAAATAACTCATATATGCATGAAAATTAAGGAAACCACCGTACATTATGGAGTGACTAATACTCCTGGCATGCATACGGTCGTGGTGAGGCTGCAGCCTGCACATATATAAACCAATACAATCATAATTAGCAACACACTCAAATTATTTATATTTAATCTTTCAGAGATATATATATAAAGGTAAATGCACAAATTAGAAAACAAATTAAAGATGATCACTTACATAATCATGGCTTGATGTTGGTAGGACTTGCAACTGGGAATTGATTGGACCATGTTCATCTTTGGCATGACGATTATGCCACGCATACTTATTAGAGCCATGATCCGCAGATCGATCGATGTTTGAAGAAATTAACTCCCTATCTCTGCTGATCTTCTCAGTAATTTAGAGTGATCAGCTTACTAATTGCATGTGGATATTCTAAGTTAGAGAAAGTCCCGGATTTATAGAGAGGGCCAAAGTGAATATCCATGGCTTCTAGTCTAGGTGCTGCAATAATGCAACTTGAACTGGACCCTTCGTTCTGCTTTCTTTTCCTTTCCCTTTTTTACCCTATTGGACACAGAAAGATAAGGTCCTTTCCTGTATATTCTTTCTCTATGATTGAGTTGGGTGTACACGTATATTCTCCTATATAAGATTATGAGAATTCTTTATGATTATAATTCATCACATCCTGTGTATTTTGGAAGAAACTTCAATAGAAAAGTATATATAATTACACTAATTAGACACTTAGCTCAACCAATGTGAGGTTCTGCCCAACCCTTTTGGTTGGTTTATACACTATTCAAATATTGACTGTCTGCCACTTGCTCCATGGCAGTCAAACTTGGATCCATGACTCATAGTGCTTAATTTTCTAGGGTTGTTCATGGGCCACCTCTGTTAATTAATTAACAACAATTAGGGGGCTTCCTTATTAATTATTTCAGGATTATCTTAATTAACTTCATCATTGCCCCTGCAATGATGAACTCCCTTTGTTGGTTTTTTTTTTCTTTTGGAAATTTATCACTATAGAATGCAATGCATGGTATATGATACATATATGCAGAAGCAACAACTTGTAGATGATAAAGAACAAAAGAGCTAGTGCATCAATTATTTTCTCAAAAGTATTCATGAGAGGCTAATTTTTATAGGCAAAATTGCAACAAATGGTATTTGGTATGAGCAAGTTGGGCTCGATTTTGCTTGTGATTGGAACACCGTCACGTAATATTACATGCAAGATGTGTTATAATATGGATGGACTGATCGCATATAAAATCACAACAGAAAATTACTTAACATAAAAAATTTCGTTGAGTGTGTGTGTATATATATATTGGTCTAGTTCATAAATAAGTTGACCATTACTTATTATGTGGTGATCAATGTTCATGAATTACTCTGTACTCAAGCCAGAGGCAAAAAAGAAAATGAGACAAACAGGATAGTAAACAAATATATAGGAAAGGTTGTAGGTGGTTCATTCACATGATTCACGTTGGGTAATAATGAACATTTTCTTTGTTTTAATTTGCTAATGGTGGAGACCTGTCCCCATCTGATCTGTACTATATCGATTGAAACACCATCAAACATTGCTTCAGTACTATTTTTTAATCATTAAAAAAAAATTAACTGATTATGACATGCACGGTATGATGTTGCTGTGCTCATTAGTGAATTGGATATAGGGTGAAGAGGATTGACCAACTTGCCTAACATACTTTTAAATTTTAGTTTTTATCGTTTAGAAATTGACAAAAACAACCTTAAAATTATGAATCTTTAAATTAGAGTGGCTCCTTTGGCTAATTAATTTGGCCCACATTTTGCTTACATGAAAACCAATCGTTTGCACATATAGATTCATCGCATATGCCATATGGAAAACTAAAACATAACATATTATTAATTAAGAAGAACTTATATATATGATCAAGTACATAATTAATGTGCTAACAAGTCACACACTTAGCCACAAAAGCATGCTTCTTAGCCACCATAATATTATAACTACAAACCTTCCCTGCAGATTTATTCACCTATTAACAACCCATGCATATATTATTAAACAGTGGCATCATCAGCAGTCTTGGTTGTATTGTTAACCTCATCAACAATGGCATTTCCTTCCTTTGTTTTTCCATCTTCTCCAGTCAAGCTGCTGCTCCTGAGGCTCACCTGCTCAGTTCCCAGACTCCTGCTAGTGACGCTAAGTACCTGGTTAATTTGCGAAGGAGGCCCTTCAGTGATTTTCCTTCTCGCCGCCGCGCATCGTCTGATAATCAAAGATTCATATTAGAAATCAAACCTAGCTTGAAAGAAGAGAGAGAGAGAGTCTAGAGGGAGATATATATTCATATATCACTCACATAATCACAATCTTATTGTGCAGGCTGCAGGGCTTGGAATTCATGGGCATTTGGAGCATGGTCTTTGGCATGATGAAGCTGTTAACCAGAGCCATGGCGAGCAAATTTAATGAAGAAATATATGTATGTTTTACAGCTTAATTTGCTAAGTAAATCAAATTAAGCCTGATAGCCAGTAGCTTGTGAGTTCTAAAATAGGGCGCCATGGTTCAATTTATAAGCTCAGGCCCAGTGTGCATGCGTGTGGCGGGTGACTCTTTCTTCGAGCTGGTCAAACTTAGACAGCTAGGAAACCAACACCCCGGAAAACCTTAAAAAATATGACTTCTTCCTTTTTGGTAATATTAATGCTGAAACGAGTATCATAGTGCTGTGGACATTTGTGATCAATTAAAAGTTGGTATATATTCCTTTCTGGCTTTTACATGGACTTCGGGTTTGAACCTTGGGACTTGGGGAACTAATGGAGTTGTTGTTCACATGGTTTCTATTTTATAGTTGAGGAAAGGATGAGCCGTAGATGTAAGACTTTTCACTTTAAGTGCATTGCAAACTTTGACCCTGACACAAGACGTCATGAATACGTCTTGATTTGTAGATAAGAGGTCTCAAGTTCGAATTTATATGGCATCATTTGTGTGTGTTTAAACTATCTCTTGTACTAAAAAACAAAAAAAATTATGAGTGAAAATAACACTACATAACATACTGACATGGTGTTACTAATTACAATAAAATTAGAGTAAATTGACGAAAATGATTATTAAATTAAAATGCATAGACCAAATTAAAAATTCGAACAAAACACATAGATTAAAAAAAGCTACTTAACCCATTTGTATTTGAATAAAATTTATGATGTGTCGCCTAGTATTATAATATGCAGTAGAAATCTATAGTTTATAAATGGCCGGTTCCAAATCCAAATACTTAAGATATTCATCGAAAAAGAATAAGTCCTAATTGAGTTTTGTTATGTTAAATGGGTCCGATCCTTTTCTTCTAATCCATGTTGTTCCATCTACCCAGAAGGGACCAGGTTGGAGTGGACAAACCGGGCCTATGACATAATTTGCTGAGGTCCATCCATGTCCTAATGAGCAGTGCTAAGGTAAGTTGTTCCTTGTGTGCGTTATGGGCGTCCCATCGTAACATTCTTTTTTTTTGTCCAACCGATCGTAACATTCTTTCAAACATTAGAAGATGTATTTTTCTTCTCTTGTTAATGATCAGAAGCCTTCAGTCGTGCACATACCACCTCCAGGTCAGATTTGTCCCATTTCTCTGTCTCTCCAGCATCAAACAAGCCTTGAAGAAGCAAATGGGCAAGCGGTAGTGGAATTCGAGGGTAAGTAGGGCTTCTTCCCAAGTTGGTGTCTCTTTGGGCTCATGGGCTAATAGCATTGCGTTTACATTATTTCTTTTTCGACTTTGGCCCATCTAACTTGTTCGAGTTTGGCATCATAGCTGCTACAATGAGGGGTTATATTGACGGGGTTCTTAGTAGTCATTCGATCAATTATAGAGTTTTTATTGGACTAATGGATTGAACTCCCTCCAGAAGCCTCTTACTCGGCATAGCATAAGAGTAGTAATACCCTTCCTAAAAACACAATGAGTTGATAAAACTTAATGTTAATCACATTAACCCAATGGTAATCAAATATCAAGACGACAACCACTTATGAATCTCGCGTCAATTTTGTCAACTATTTTATTTATCAATATGAAATATCTTCAAAAAAGCATAATCTAATGTACATACATGGGATTATGGAGAAAGACTTGTCTATGTCTCTCGTTCGATGGAAAGTTCTTATCGTGATCGTGCGGTCAGAAATATTTCCCCCCTGTGAAACATAATTCATAATGCCTCCGCATTTTTCTGTTGGGTTTCTTTTCACGTAACTTCACAATCCACTCTCTTTCTTCCTCCTCTTCAGTCTTCCAAATTGCCGTACTATAAAGCACTGAGCTGAGCTCCCTCGCTGCTCCTCCAGCACGTTTCAATTCAACAAACACTTCTTCAACTTAACTTTCCCCTCCTCCTCCTCCATGTCAACCCCAACCTCCCCGTTTCCTCTTTCCCAATATGCCCTCTCATTTCCCAACTAATCCCACTTCTACCCCAACACCCAACTCCGACGACCCAACCTCCTCCTCCGACAACCCGAACACCGCCCGATCACCCAAAACGACACCGTCAGAGATGTGGAACTACCTCTGGATTCCTTTCCTGATTTCCTTGTCCAAGGAGCTCAGCTTGGCCAAGGCCCAGTCCCCGATTCTCTTGCCGAGTCAACTCGGAGTCGGCCCCTCCGACTCGTCCTCCACCAGGTGTACGGCTCTAGACCCGAAGCTCAATTACCGGCCGGTGATCGGCATCCTCAGTCATCCCGGCGATGGCGCCTCTGGTCGGCTCAGCAACGCCTCAACGGCGTCGTATATCGCTGCTTCCTATGTCAAGTTTGTTGAAGCTGCTGGGGCTCGTGTTATTCCTCTCATCTACAACGAGCCTCCTGATGTTCTGTTCCAGGTGATCACCCAAAATTTTGAATTTGGAAACTTTATTTTACAATTAATTTTTTATTTCTTGACAATAATTTGAGCTGTTTGGAGAAGTTGCTTCTGAGTTCTTTACGTTAGCTTTTTTGAGAATGAACGGAACAAGAGATGTACGTTGCGTTATGTGTTGAGTTAATTTTACTCTTATCTTGCGAAAGATCATAACTTTCAAAAGCCAAAGCAAGTGCTAAAAATTGGCTTTTTTTCTTCATAAGCTGGAGAAAAAAATACGAAGTAAAGGCTGTGCTTTTATGTTGGCATTGTCATCAAAAGTTAAAGATGGTCTTTGTGATATTGGGTTTTTTTTTCTTTTTCCCAAGTAAAGGCTGTGAATATTTTATATTCGCTTTGTTTCAACTTTCAATAAATAGATATGTATTAGTAGCTATCATTTGCTTTAGTAATGTGAGGCTGAGTTTCTTATTTCATCACTAAAGCAATCTGCCCTCTCCCAGTGATTTTGTTATGTTGCTTACTATATACAGCTGTATTGCAGAAGCTCAATCTGGTCAATGGCGTGCTTTTCACTGGAGGCTGGGCTAAAAGTGGTTTGTACTATGACATTGTGGAGAGAATATTTCAGGTGATGATACAATCTTTGCAATATAATCATTTTAGTCCATGATATACATGGTGACTTGTGCTAAGTAAGTTTTCATGCGCATATAGTCCTGGCTTTCCAGGCAGCCCAATTAAGTCAAACTTTTATATTTTCTGGGGCTTGTGTTCTGCTCAACAAACAGAAGACTGTACTCCTTGATGCGCTTGTAGTTGCTCATCTGGGCCCAGCATTATGCAATACTACTTTGCTGCCCTTTCATGCAATATCATGGGGTGAATGGTTAAGATACCATTCGCAAAATGGATTGATCTAGATTGTTATAGGGATAAGTGTCATGATGCTTATAAGGCATTGACATGATACTGAGCTTAGTATCGTGTAACTGTCCAAGATCATCAGCATCGGGTATCATTCTCCATGTACTCTAGCCAACACTGGCCCAAAGAAATTTGACAGGTACAGGTTAGAGAGAGTGGTATCCCTAAAAGTTAAATGGGATTTTAGAGGTCAAAGTCCAGGACTGTGTATTGCAACCATGGCATAGTTGTCATTGTTGGCTAACATCAAGGGTTTCAAGTCTGTTTTGCATCATAGAGATACCCAGTAAATTGACTTTTCCTCAGGATAGTTTCATTGCTTTCTGAAGAATACTTCCATGTTTATGAGCTATTCTGTTCCCACTTTTGTGCAGAAAATTATAGAGAAGAATGATGCAGGGGACCATTTTCCTTTATATGCCACCTGCTTAGGTTTTGAACTTCTAACAATGATCATCAGCAAGGTAAACTACCACCTCCCATAATTCACTGCTTTTCCAACAGCATTCAGTCTCTTGGCATTCAAAGTGCATATTTTTTCTCCCTTTTTCAATACTTGAATGTCTAAGTTGCCACTTTCAACAATGAATATATTCAATTTTGTTCTTCCCAAAGGTGGTTTAAATGATTCAATTGTTAAAAGAAGTAAACCGGGATGCCATGTTATTTGCGCACATGCCCAATCAGATATTCTAACTATTCTATTGCATGTATGCTATTCCCGCTTTTTTGAATGGCCTTTCTTGGTTTTTTAGGTTGGCATATAACTTGAGACTATTATATAAACACTCTGTTAATTAGCACGGAGATGAATTTACAACTTTGCCTTGAACATTGAATTATGGAATGATAATTCATTCTCTTTTCTTAGTTGATTGCCTGTCATAGTCACTCTTTCAATTTGAATCACCTTTCCTGTCAGTTAGAGGTAGTATTATTTTTAACTCTTCAATCTCTTATCCTTATAGATGTTTCAACAATTCCTGCTAATATAGTTGTCTCGATTTTATGATTGATGCAAATTTCTTTCTTTCTTCTAGAACAAGAAAATTCTCGAGTCTTTCAGCGCAGAAAATATGGCGTCAACTTTACAGTTTACTGAGAACACGATTATTGAAGGAACTGTATTTCAAAGGTATATACAACTTGTAATATGGTTTTCCAATTCAATTTGTATGTAATTGATGAGGACTTTAGTTCTCTTGTGTAAAACAATTTTCTTTTGAAGAGAGTCCTACATTTCTGTTTTATTGCTAGAGATGTATGTAATATTTTTACAAGAAAATTGTTCACTGAAATGGCACATTTATCAAATTTAATAAATATGATGGAAATGTATTTATATTTATCATCACTGTTTGATATTTTGGACATCTGTACTAAAGGGGAGGATGGTTGATATTCTCTGAGTTGTGTAAGTTTGCCTTCTGTATCTCTAGTTGTGACTTATAAAATTTATTTTGGTAGGGAAGTTTGTGTCATGTCATGTTACTGTTTATCAAAAGGTGATTTAATTTCTGCAGCCACTAACGTAAGCACATTCTTTTGCAGATTTCCTCCAGACTTGCTTAAAAAGTTGAGTACAGATTGTATTGTAATGCAAAACCATCATGTAAGTTCTAATCTAAAGGCTCTTTCATTCAAGTATTAAACATAGTTATCAAATTTATCCTTCATGCTTGTAAATTGTAATCAGGCATGGCCCGATCCTGAACAATCAATTCAAAATTATTTATTTGGTTAAATCTTACCATTGTTCATTTCTTTTTCCAAAGGCAAACCACTTCAAAACATACATCATCTTCGTTTGAGAAAGTCTAGATTGTTTCATTGTGATTCTGAGGTTTGGCCAATCATCTGACAAAATTGATGAGACAAATGGCTCCATTTTGAGAATGTCTTATATTATGCTTCTTAAACTAAGAAATTTTGGGTTTAGTCAGTTATGCTTTAATTTATGTGGTTATAATCCTTTGCGTACAAAGAGAAGAGTAGGCTTTCTAATTTAACCTGAGTTTTTTTTAACGATTCAATGCAACAGTATGGTATCTCACCAGAGAGGCTGCAGGAGAATCCCAATCTGTCAAGTTTCTTTAAGATCTTGACGACTAGTACTGATAAAGATAATAAGGTACTGAATGTAACTATCTCACTTCATTATGTGTTTCGTCAATTCATTACACATTTCTCTCGTATCAAGTTTCAATCTCTTTTTTCTTCCCCCGAAGATTCTAATTGTTGCAGTAACACAAATACCAGGTCTATGTCTCCACAGTTCATGCATACAGCTATCCTGTGACTGCCTTCCAATGGCATCCTGAGGTATTACTGTAATATTGTTCAGTCTTGTCTTAAAATGTTACTATTAATTTCAAATTTAGCAATACAAGCAAACAGCACAGTAAAACAATGCTTGAAAATGGAAACATCTTGAGGCTCTTATTTGAATAGGTGTCATCAAGGATCTCTGCTATAAGAGTGTAACTGTATAACTCACAACCTTGTGAAGGATAAGCTGTTATTGTGGAATTGTGGAATTGTGGAATCATGAACAAATGGATTTTGCTTTATTATCCATCTTTATATAAAAGATTTAAGACAAAGACCACAATAACTATTTCCACTTAAGACATTTGTAATGTTAATATATTTGTAGTCTAAGAAATTTTTTTGATAATTATTTCCATAACATTTGTAATGTTAATATATTTAAGCGCATTCTACAGATTAAGTGAAGAACGGTAAATTAAGAAAAATTGAAAAGCAAAAAGACTAGAGTTTGCATAGAAAAAAAGTCATCTAGGACTGGGTGTATTGTACCTATTGCCAATTCCAATGGATCTGTTTCTAATTGGGAAGACTAATCAAATGCGATGCAGAAAAATGCTTTTGAATGGGCCTCACCAATGATTCCGCACTCAGAAGATGCCATTCAAGTGACCCAGCATGTCGCAAACTTTTTGGTCAGGTTAGCGCTGATGCTTTGTCCTTCTGTATCTGTTTCTTTTAGCTCCAAGTGAACCACTATGGTTTTTTAATTGAACTTTGGCTGAAATGTTGAGGAGCACTAAGAAAAACTCTTTGGGAGCGCGAAGATGTTGCAAAGTTAGGCTCAGAGAATCGCATTATTCCTTTATTCAACATGTGGATATTATGTCTAACAACTTTCAAAGGTGTCATATTTTAGAATAGGGTGATGATTTTCCCACTCCCCTTTTGTCCACTTATAGTCCCTTTTGTTTTTTAATAGTTTTTGCTATAACAAAAAAGGGAGTATACGTGGACAAAAAAGGAGTGGGAACACACAATTTCTAACCAAGGGACTGTAAGTGGACAAAAGAGGAGTGGGAAAATCAGCTCCCTTTAGAATATACCTCTAGAATTTACCCCACAAGGTTTATTCAACCAGAATGATAGCGAAGCCTAAACTTACTCCAAATTGAATTTGTGGTGCAGTGAGGCAAGGAAGTCATTAAACAGGCCGCCTGTTCGTAATGTCCTTGACAATCTCATCTACAATTACAGTCCAACTTTCTGTGGGAAGGCTGGGTAAGCCTGAAGTGCCCTTGTGACTACATTATTATTTTGGATTTGTGCATGAACTTATTTGCTTAATTGTGACATGCCTTCTGACTGTAGGAACGGATTCGATGAAGTTTACATCTTTACTCAACCGTCACTCTCTCATCTGTAAATCAAACATGTACATGGAAGATTGTTTATGGAGATTGGGTAAAGACTGTTTGAAATGTAAATATTTTGTATTTATAAGACAGTGGCGCTCTCATGAGTCTAAATCTGTCTGTGCTTTTCTATGCCACCCTACCGGTGTGTTGTCCGGCGTTGTCTGCAAGGCTCTTGCACAGCTTTTATTTAGAATTGGCACCTTTTCTTGTGCTATCTTCCCCATTATATTTCAGCTTTGTAAACATACAATACTTGGAATGAAGAAAATAAGCATCTGTTTAGCGTCATATTATTGGAAGACCTGTTCATTTTTATTCTATTCAATGGGGTTGAGGCAAGAGCTAAATTCTTGCCCATAAATGTGAAGGTAAATGTTTTACCTTTGAAGCAAGTTCTGGCTTAACAGAAAGGGTAAAATAACATGGGATATTTCTTGACAAGCATCCTTCTTTTTTTTTTTTTTTTTTTTTTTTTTTTTTCAAGTAAATTGGAATTTTCATGACCTAAAAATGAAGAGAAAAAAAACAGAACTTTGCATGATTGCATCAATCGAAGCAAAGTAGGGAAGGAAAAAACAAACAAAGGAGAGCAAACCCTGATTATGGCTTCCCAAATAAGCACGTGCCAATCCACAGAGCAGGTGCCTATGTGAACTACATAACATAAGTTATAGCTTGTAAGTTGTAACCACTCAGAGAATGGCGGGAAAAGAGGTGAGCTTTGGGAGGGAAAATCATTGAAGATCTATTTTTCACGGGCTCTTATTGTTATTCCTAGAGCAAATTAACGACCCAAGTTTTTCCTTTTTTGAAAAAATGGCCCAAATCGAAACCCTAGGAATCATCCAAGACATCGAAACCCTCGTCTCCGATCAACTTCAAGTGGTAACAATCCACCCTTTCTCAATCTCTCGTTTTTCTTCTTGTTTTTCATATTATCTTAATTCACTGTGATATTGATACGGCCGGCCCATCGTTTTTGCAATATGAGTATTTTTCGCTGCTGAATTACTCTGTTATTATGGAGCTCTGACAAGGGTTTTGCTGAATTTCGCTTTGTTTCAACTAGTTTACTGTTATCTTGCTATATAGTGCCTATATTGATGTCTGCTGCTATACGAATCTTGTACTTGCCTCAAGCAAAAAGTTTAATTTAGTTTTTTACTTTTTTTATTTTTTTTTTTTTTTTTTTTTTTTTTTTTAAGGATATGATAATGGGTTGTTGCAGAAATGAAATAAGCTAGAAAACCCTCTCATTTTGATTTGGAGATTGAACTGTGACTTGCATGTTTAGTTGAATACAGATAATCCTGAAGTTTGTTAAAGATGAACAAAGAAAATTTCTCACTAGAACTTGAGTTGAGATTTGAGGAACCTCATAGGAATTCATAATATTGTCTAATAGAAAAGCTACTTTCAATGCTGATGGGCAGGTTTCCTACAAATGGCTGAGTCGGAATTACTTGGTGTCTTCCAATGCTGCAAAGAGGTTGGAAACTTGTCTTAAAGCTTTTTTTTTTTTTTTTTTTTTCGGTTTTTTTCGGTTTTTACAAGTGATTGATAGTTTGTATATATAGGTTACTCCATGAGTTTATTGAAAAACATGGAAATGGGTTGGAAGTGGTATATGTTTTGGCTGGCTGGTTGAAGAGCAATCTTTCGAGCTACCATATAAGGCTTGTTTCTGGGCCTAAACTTGCAGGTAACATTTAATTATAGAATAGTGTGCACATATACTTATGCTGATATCACTGGCGTTCATCCTGGTTTTATTCGATGCAACATGGGGAGGGAGAGAGAGAGAGAGAGAGAGAGATTTCCAATAGGATGTTTTGTACTTTTTCCGCAAACCTTACAACTAGTACATGCATAGGATTATATACGCAGCATATGTACTTGAGTTATGGTTCCGCAGTTTGGAATAGATGCTATTATATCTTTTGAACTTATTCATACTTTCATGAGCAATATACCAACATTGGTTTCAATTTTAAAAAAATATATGTAATTGTTGAATCTAATATAACTGTTCCGTCTGTGTATCATCATCTTTTTAATAAGACTTGGTCCGTCTTGTTATTAAACATCAGGTAAGTGGAAATATTATGGAACTCATGTCTCTCAGCTTTTATGCAGAAGCAAAAGAAGAATTTGAAGGCAACTGTTCAGTCGAGGTTTATAGTGTGCAAGCTTGCATCCCAAAAGATCCAGCTGCATTGTGGAATGCTGAATTTGTACAAGCAGAGGAGCTCTTCAAGCAGGCTCCATCGGTTGAAAATTGCTTGAGGGATAACAGGTATATTTCCTTTCATTGTACATCTGTATATAAAATGTATGCTTTTTCTTTCTGAAAATTTAGGAAGTTCCAGTGCTGTACAGCACCAAGTCTGGTGAATCTGAACAGATTTTTTATTTTATTCTTCTGCTCAGTAATGATTACTTAATAGTTTGACCATTTATTCATTGGAACCTTTTCTGGAAAGCACAGAAAGATGAAGACAAGTGAATGAAAAAGATCTGTCACTCTGAGTTTTTAATTTATTTGACTGATTTTCTGCTTATTAACAGTATTTCATTTTAGTTATCATAAAGAAAAGGCTCAGATTAGTAGTTCAAAATGATCTATCACTATATGCTCTTAGATTCAGACCCAAAAAAAAAGTTGCTATTAGATTTAAAAAAATGAAATTGTTCATCTCAAGGTTAAAGGACTAAATCAAATTTTGTTCTTTTTCTCTCTGATGGGAAATTACAAAACAGCATTCTTTGTTTTGCATGAGATATTCCTAAAATTCTGAAAATTCTAGGAGAGGACATTTGGCTTTTATACTTTGCAAAATACTAGAGTTTATGTTTTCAGCGCTCGTGCATGGTAGTGTACTCAGCTGAGATGGAATTGTTCCGTTCATATTTTTGTTTTCTTTGCTAGAATTTAATGTATTATTTTCACAGGACTGTAATCTATTTGAGAGATATAAGACATATATATACAACTATATATGTGATATTTGGCTTCCTTGATTTTCGATGCTCCTCATCTTCAGGTTTTGTGGGATTTCCAATTCCTTTGTTAAGCGTAATGTGGAGGGAATGCCATTGATCATTGAAGCTCCACAACTTAAAACCAAAGCAGTCATAGGGCCATCTGAAAGCAATTTAGCTCATCAAAATATTGCATTTCCAAAACATGTCCAGAATAAAGGACAGCAATCTAGCCCAAAAGTTGGTTTACAGGCTCCCAATGTGGTAAAAGATGTCAAAAGTGAAAGCAATGGAACAGGAGCTTTTGATCAGGCTAACAAACCACCAGCAGTCAAAGATAAAGTTCCTCCTGTGCCTGCTAACAAAAAGAAAGTCCAAAATGATAAAAGCTCTTCTGCTTCTGGAGGTTCATTGGCAAATTTGTGGGGTCGTGCATCTGTCAAGCCAAAGTCAAATACTCTGTCAGAAAATAACAATTCTATTCTTAATCATACTGGTTGGTTTCATTTTGCTTTATCTTTTTACATCTTGCCATGATGGATAAGTTGGGAATTTAAAATTCTCTGAGAAACATTTTAGATGCAATAGGGGTGGTTTTGTTTTGCTAAAAAATTGTATTGCTGGCTGAAATGTATCTTTGTGTCCTTCCTCCCACTTCAGGAGCTAGTGCAGACTCTCAAGTTTGTGCCCAAGAAGCAGTAGCCAGTGTCAGCAGCGATGATGATGGTCATGAAGTCAATTTCAAGAGAGCTTCCAATGGGGAAGGCACTAGGAAAAGGAGGGTTGTCTTTGATTTCTCAGATGATGATGAAGATGAAGATGCAGTTAATTTAGCATCACCAGATAATCCAAAAGCGCAATCATGCCAAGATCTGAAAGAAAGTAGCAAAGTTTTGGTTCCAGAGGGAAACAGTTTGAACTTTGACGAGCAGGTAGAAGATAAACCGAAGGTAGAAGATAAGCCCAAGGTAGAAGATAAACCCATGGTTAAGGAAGAGGTTTCTGTTGATCGAAAATCTAACCAATCTTTCAGAGAAGGTTCTTCAGTTTCAGGCGTCAGCAAAGGGAGAAATGCTGGGATTATCCTGAAAGAGAAGACACATAGCTGTATTCCCGAAAAAGATCATAACAAAATGGATAAACCGAACAACGCTGCTTCAAGTTCACCTAAAAGAAGAAAAGTTTTGAAGACAGTGATTGATGAACGTGGAAGAGAAGGTACGCTGTGGTTTAGATGCCTTGATTTTCAAAGAGTCCCATTTGCAGTATGTTACTTGGCAAGTTAGCATGGCTGTTTCTGCTGTAAAATTTAACCTTTGCTCTTTTTCAACCAAATATAGTAAATTACAATGGACTTCATAGTAACTGTCTGTAAGTAAGTTTTTCTTTTGCAACTTATGGTAACTGTTTAATATTAGTTTCCTTTTAGGTTATATATAGTTGAAATGAATCAAAAATAAATATTTTCTCACTGTGTGAGGTAATCTTCTCCTGTATCACTTTGAACAAGACATATATGTCTATTTTTATCTATTACTAATTTACTTTTAGTCTAATCTATACAGTGACTGAGGTAATCTGGGAGGGTGAGGAGACAGAAGCAAAGAAAGCCGACACTAGTATAACGAAGAAAGCTGATAATACAGTTGCCAGTGCTGTTAACAGGTTAGTTTAATTCTTTATTTACTATTACTATTATTATATTATTTATTATTGGTATTATTATTTCCGTTTTATCCATGTTACTTGTGTTATTGATAAGGACCAGTCTGCTTAACTCGCAAGTTTATCCATGTTACTTGTCTAGGATGCTTGTAAAGAAAAAACATCTTTGTTTTTCACGCTCTATTCTTTTTCACATCATGTGAATTCTTGATCGGTGGGATTACAAACGTACCAAAAAAGTTCACATCTTATTCAACTGTGCTGATTCCAACTCCCTGTAAATTTGTGGGTTGAAACAATGTGGCAAATGTCATTGCCTTGTGTTAGAGACGGGTAATTGTATCTGATGTTGCAACAAGGTAGTGCAGGCTCAAACAGCTAGAATATTGAATAATCATGTTCTGGAGATACTGCATCAAATAGTGAGATGTTAGAAAAACATGTAGATCTGATGCTGTATATCTCAATTGTTTTGAATTCTGATCATCACAGTTGGCCTTGTATACTTGTACTAGTAATTGAGGCATTCATGTGGTTTCTTTTACTTCCTAGCTTGGATAAGTCAGTCTTGTTATATTTCGTTTGTGCCAAAATATTTCATTTCGTTGACTTTTTTTTGCTGAAGTTTTAGCTTGTGCCTGGTGCCTGAACTCTAACGTTGGATTTGTTAATCCAGGCCTCCTGCTGCTAAGAAGTCAGTGGTAAACACTGCTCCAACAAATGGCAAAGCAGGAAGCAAAAAGGGTGGAAACAAGGACCCTAAGCAAGGCAATATTCTTTCATTCTTCAAGAAGGCCTAAGCCCTTTTTCAAACCCCAAGTGTCCCTGCAGCAGTGTTTGATTATAATGGTTCTTACATCTTGTTATATTTTCAAAGATGACAGAGAGAAGAGTGTTTGCTTTTCTTCTCTGCTGCTAATCGAGGGCTCGAATGTGTATATTCTCTTCTTTCGGATTTATACTCTTGATTTTCAGCATTAAACCATCATGGTTTATTTTTGTGCTAGCAGAGTGCAGACATGGGGCCATTTGGATAGTCTGATTACTTCAAATTTAAATGTGCCTGTGTTCATATTCTACCGTGGATCATGAATGCAGGTGGGGATGGCATATTCTACGTTGTGGTTCATCGGCCATCTACATAAATGAAAAATTTATTAAGAATATGGCCACCATTTGAAAGATTTGTTGCAGTGAAGCATTTAACTTCATCACATTGAATAAACTCTTTCGACTCCAACTGAAGGGTTTTTTTTATAATTTGGTCAGCCAGACTCCAACAGAAGCTAGAACAAATAGTATTTGCCTTGTTTCTTTATAACCAAAAACCAAAATTGAGATTTTCGGCGTACCTTAACTACAAGCAGAGATTCTTTGACACAATAACATCACTCATCTGGTAACACACAAAAAAGGGAATCTTTGCATTGAGTGGGACCAGTGTACTCCCTTTTATTTGTGTGTGTACGGACGAGTGATATGATCCACCCCTCGAATTCAAGAATTTCTCTTGAAGTTAGGTGTGTCGTCCAGCTTACTAGGGTGGCCACCTTTTAAGTGTTTTTTTGGCCACCCTTTTTGGTTAGCCTTGGCTTTTCAATGTTTTCGGTTTCAAAATTTCTTTACATGATGTCAAAGGACATACTTTTCTTGTCCCAATAGCTCTAATAACGGCTAGTTTTGGGGATAAAAGTAATGACGACTTAGCCAAATATGTAGAATTGGACTGATCATGGCTGAGTATTTTGCAGGTGCATTGGTCTACGGGCTTTGTTATTTGTAACAATTTGGGCAATGTTGTTATAATCTTTTTTAAAAATAAAAAATAAAAAAAGATTTTGAGCAAAGTTCATAATGAAGCATCAACAACAAAGTTTCAGAAGAAAAAATAGAAGGGTGCACTCAAGTAACATCATGATTATCTGTTTTTTGGGCTTAATTATATTTTGGTCATTATTGGGTACTTATAAAAGTAGCAATGATCTCTCCTCATGGGGTTCACTCACACTATTCATTGAATTGAATTCATGTAAAAGGAACTCATAATGACACAATTTGAAGCAGTAAACGAAAGCAAACTTTGAATACAAACGATGGCGCTAAAGCCTAATAACCTTTGGCTTATGACAGCGTAGAGCTCCAACAAGAGTCCATAGAGTCTCAACTACTTACAGAAAATGAAATTTTGCATATCACAAAATATGTTTATCTGCATTTTGTTGGTTCCAAAGATTTGGTACAACCTGGGTGTCTTCTTCCGGGGGGATGGGAGAGAGAGGGAGGGAGAAGGAACAAGTGAGATAAAATAAGTCCAAGCATTCCTGTCCAACTAAAGATTACAGCAAACTAGGAAGAATCCAAGTGAATGCAAATGGAAAAGCATAAAAAGTGACCGACTCTATTAAAGATATGGAAGAGAATGAGAGAAAAATATACATGATTTACATTCAATCTTGTGAACAACGTTTGTCATATCCTCTCCTTGAGTCAACTCTCTCGAATCAAGTTGGTTGGCTCACTCAAAACATACTTGGGTAGTTCATATTTTGCACCTGCGAGAAGTCATGTAAGGGGGCAAGCCAAAAGGATTTGAAAATAAAGAGAACTTATGAAGGTAAATTTGGCCATTATATAAAGATGTAACAAGTTTGTCCAAAATTCATCCACAAGCGCACTCCCCGACACCTACGCACACAACATAAAGCAGTACAAGACATACTCATACTGGATACTGATACTTCTACCGCTCAAGTACCACTAAATCAAACACCAATAAGGTAGAAAAATATAAAATACCCACACACACCCACCCGCCCAGAGACATAAGCATACGCACCCATACACAGCCTAAAGTACTGATAATTTTAGCCCTTCCGCACCCCTGAATCCTAACAACCTTGAAAATATACAGTTTTGGTCATTTTTAAAAATAAAAAATAAAACCTGCATAGATAGGAGTGTTTTGGAGGCAGCAAATAGTTGTGAAGACAAATGCGAATTGGATAAGTACCTCTTTCATCATAGCAAATTGTCAAATCAGCACTTTGAACAATGACCCCAGCACTGTCCACAATCGCTTGTGCAAGGCTTAGATCTGCTTCAGCAGCAGCTCGAAGTGCATCCCAAATCTCTAAAGTCCAGTATAAGTGAAATTTATGGTTCAGATATAACATGTGTGAATAATGTGACTTCAAAAACAGGAAAAAAAAACCGCAGTTGCAATGCAAAGTCAAATAAGAACTTGATCACAATAATCACTTTTGTTTTGAAAAGATCCTTTTTTATTTTTCTATCAGAAGCATGAGCCTACAACACCACTTCCTATTACAAAAACAAACACATCAAAATATAGGGAAAAAAATATTGAGAAGACTTGTGTGAACCATCGCTGGGTGGCATGTGATCATTGGTAATATTTGCAACATTCTGATATTACATTGGTAATATCAGAAGGTCGGAGGTGCCCACTAGTGAAGAACTTATTAAACTAAATACAAATCCCACCCTTAGATATTTGGACAAGATGCTAATCCTTTTTTTATCTGGGTAAGATGAAGCACAATCCTTTTCAACCATAGTACCCCATATAGGTAGTATTTTATTTAATAATAAGCCATCATGTCCTTCCCATGACAACCCACACTCTTTTAACCTTCCCATGATGTTGTAGTTTGTTCAATGTCACAATCCATATTGATGCAGCCATTAGCTACCATTGCATTCGCATGATGTGATCATCTCCAATCTTGGTTCTCCCTTATTCCTACACTGGTTTGCATTCATTTAACAGTTTATCCTCACTCATCTTGACCTTATCCACTAACAAACCCTCATTTAAGCTACAAGACCTTCTATAGAAAAGTTCCTGGGTTACTCAGTATACCTTACACTAAAATTACCCCCCAAAACAAACACCTTCTATCCAATTTAGACATTTCTTAGGCAAATACTACTTCTGAATAAAACAGATAGAGCCGTCATAGGATATCCAAACTGAACTAGAAGTTTAATCTTTAGAATGGTGAGAGAAACTCCGAACTGTCATAGGAACAACACTTTAAAGGGATAAACTCCACCCACCCCTCTTTCAAACTGAAAAGGGAAACACAACCAGCACAAGACTAAAGCCTGCTTAGTTATACAGATAATAATACAAACATGCTTGGAGCGCTGCTCCAGAGCACACAACAGTATATGAAAATCAGATTCCCCTACACTATTAAGAATGCTCAAGGTCAATACCAAGATTCGGGTATCTTTACTATTGATTTCTATACAGAACTCATGAATTATTCAGGATGATCATAAACTTACCAAAATTTTATAGTTTAAAATCTCGTACTCAAGTTCTCTAGAACATTTATGCACCTTAACGGTCATTCAATCTCAAATGAGTGCATATAATGGTTGAATTGATACATCAACAGACAATTAGAATAAAAACTAAAGAGTTCTACAATTTATTTTGTGGATTGAACTCAAACAACTGAAAGGAAACCCGTCTCAAACCAACTGTTAAATATCTAAAGGTGACTAGAAAAGCAATAAAGTATAGTTTTCATCCTGTTTTCTCAAGTCAACGTTCACATGATAAGAGCTTCTATTACCCTTCTTACTGTGTGTGTATATAATCAAGCTCACTAATCATTACTGATAGGTTTAAGAAAATGGCTGTCCTGATGAATTAAATATGGTGGATTATGATGAAAGATATAATTCTAAATTGCAAAGATTTCCAGATATCTTCCCTGGTTTTCCATATATGAGCACATTCTATTGTTCCTTTGTTTAGTTGCCACCCCTTGGTTTTCTTATGATTTTCACAAATGTGAAAGATCTGTTTGTGTTATAGGAAAATATTATCTCAGTAGGAACTTAAAAAATGTAAAAATAAAAAACTCTATGACTAAGTAATTTCATACCAGGTAAGCTAACCTTAGGTAGAGCCCAAAATTCAATCCAAAGAAAACAAAAAGAACCCCAAAGATTTTCTGTAATTATTCATTGTCATTATATATACATTCAGAGGAAATATTACCTTTCCTGCCTCCATAGTGAGGAGCAGTGTCCCAAAACTCTTCACGCATCTGCAAGAGCTGAGACTTTGTTAATGGCTGAGGATGCTTCCAAGGTTTTGGCTTCCGAACCTTTTTCAAAGCCCCTGTTTAATATACAAGTTCTAATTATTGCCTCTGAAATTACGAGTGCTTTTAAATTCCAACGATCAACCACTTTTTCAGGGCATTGAAAATGATCAAAATATAATCAAGGATTCTTTAATAGAAAGAACTACAAAACAGTGACAACTTTATTCCATCAACTGAAGCCCCCAACAGATGAACCTACTTCTTTCCTTTCCCTTATTTTCTTATGTGAACTAAAAAGAAATACTTAAGAGGTATAACCACAAATCCCCATCCAATAATAACCTGAAGTAGTTCAATAAACTAGTCTAGAAAAGGAAAACTCATTATTTTTTCTGGATTATGTATGCCTTCCAACTATGACATTCATAAGTTCAATAAGACCTAAATTCTCTTTCCAGTAGTACTTCACAATATAACAGATGGCATAATAAACTAAAATTTTATCTAACGCATATCATTGCACAACTTTCAGCTTGCGATCTATAAAAAAGCGCAGATCACACATACATTCAGGCACACGCGGACATGGGCATGAACACAAGGGTAAGAGAGAGAGGAAGATATATACAAGACTTTCTGAATTTGGGGCTAAACTAATAAAACCACCTAATGTTTTTCATTTATGATCACATAAACGTCCAACATACAGGCTGGAAATAATGCCAACATGCACACATCGATGTTAAGATCAGAAAGATAATAACAGTAACAAAATTGTCTGAATCAAAAAATGCCCAATACCATCTTTGGCATAAATTCTAAGTCTGGCTTTTCAATAAACAGCTTGACGGTTGAAAGCACATTTAAAGGCCTACATCGATCTCTATAACCACAAATTTCAGATGTTTGATTCTTCAGCTAAACGGAATGCCAGTGCTTAATCCTCTTTCTAACTCTATCTACCAAAATGCAATGAAGGTTCCCTGTTCTTTTTCTCAAAAGAATTCCACTGCTTCATCCTTTTGAGCATTGTCAAACAACAAAGCATATGAATCTTGCAAACCATATTAGAAACTCATTGTTTAAGTTAAAATAACAATAATTCATAAACCCCAATTGCATGAACAAAATTTCAGGGAAAACAAAGAATTCAACAGCTTGACTCAGCTCAGCTCAGCTAAGCTCAACCTTTCTCTGTAAATCATATCATTATTTTACAATCACTTCAAAGATTTCAACTTTCGTTTCCTGCGTTTTCCAAGCAGCCAAACGGAAGCCAAAGCATCAAACCCAAAAGAAAAACGAAAAAACTGAGGCAGAGAATGATAAAGTGACCTCACCGTCTCCTTTGGTCTGTGACGATCCAGCACAACCCATTCTACAGAGAGAGAGAAACGAAAACGAGAGAAATTGAGAGCTCCGAAAGAAGCAGAAGAAGAAGCAAGCAAGCAGCCTTGAGCTTCGAGCTTCAGCTTCGTGAAGACGCAAAGTCAAAAGTGGAGAAACCTGACCCGACCTGACTTCCGGCCAGAGAGCCTGCGGTTTTTCCGGTGACAGATCGAGAGTTGTAATAGTAAAAGTCGGAGGCTTTATTAGATTTTTTTAGATTTTTATTTATGTATTTATGATTTAATTAATCATTGCTCAATTATATACGAATGACAGGAAACATCTTCTACTTTTTCTTTATTTTACTTTTTAAAATATTTTAATATTTTTCTACAAATAGAGTGTTAGTTGGATTGGTCTTGATTTTTGGTGTAGTGTGGATTCGGAGAAATACTTTCATGAAACACGAATATCACTATTTTGATATCTCATGCCAATAACATTATGGCATGAGTGATAACACTTTCATGTTGCATAGTATTATTGATCGGTGATAGTAAAATAGTGTTATTCTCATTGTCTACCCATTTGTCTCATGAAAAAAGTTGGTCACTCCAGAAGACTAGACAATGCAAGTCTACAAATCATTATTATATTATTTATTTTTATCTTTTATATTTACTATTATATAGAAAATAGGTAAGAGAGTGGAGATAATATTTTATTACAAAAAGCAAGTAGGGCTCAATATACTTCTTCACTTTGAAGTATGTAATATTACCTTATTGGGGAGAGTATGTATACTTTGCCTACCCATTTGCCTCTTCACTTGGAGCATGAAAATGCTGATATAGCAAGACAAATAAAATTTACCTACTTTTTTCCATCTTCCTTTTTACTCAATCAGTAATTAATATCGACCCAATGAATTCTCATTTCCTTTTTACTCGTATTTATCTTTCTGCTTATTTCATCTCTCACTATGTCAATCGTGTTCACAAACTTTTTTCATTTAGTATTTATATTAGGTGAGTCCCAAAAATAAATATATTATATATGTGGTATACATATTAATAGTTATATGCGCTATTTTTAGTTGTGTATTAAAGTATAATGTAGCATGTGAATGTAATGTATTGTGCACGTATTTCTGGTGACATTCAACATTTTATTTTCATTTTTAAGAGGGAGGCATCACCGTCTATTTAGACGAAATATTCAAAGAAGCTAATGATGAGTTCGGCAGGAAGTATTTTTTCATGTATTTTGTACGAATAGAAGAGGGAGATTTAAATCAACTTGGCACTATGCCACTGTCTAATCTCCCTCTTCTATTTGCTACTTGACTAACTCTCGGTGCTTCTAATCTATCTATCTATCTATCTATCTATTTCAAGGTGACTTGTGAGGTTGACAGGAATGTTTAGAAACCAAACCAGCGGGCAGTGGGGACTCTTTGTTGTTCAAGACTTTTCGTTTTCATCTTTAAATCCTTCAACAGTGGCCCTTTGTCATTCTAAATAGACCTTTACCTTTCTAGAGCCAAATCAATCCTTGTAACCTTTTTCTTTCTGTTTTTCTGATCATGTAAAAATAATTTTTAGGTTTACCTACATACTCATTCTACTGGTAATTGGTTCAGTGAACAATAATTTATTGGGTTTCTTAGATCTATGTCCAAAACGATTAGCTGTCATTGGGTTTAGTCCAAGCGTTTTTTGTTTTAAATGTAGGTCCTTTGACTTTTATTACTCTTTTTATTGTGTTGATTTTACCCTTTGAGGTACATAAGGAAAACATTGAAAATCTAAATTTAATGAATTATTTACTTATAATTAAATTTCAAATTTCAAATTTGGAATTCTTTCATTGATAATATTTACCTAATATATGGGTAAAATACAAATTAATCAATTGAAGTAAAGGCCCACATATTATACTAATCAATTAGGCAAGCACCCACATTAAATTATGTACCTAACATACAGGTAAATAGTGTTCTTATTAGCAACGAAAAAAACTTAGTGATAAATCGTGTTACTTATAAGTCATGAACATAAATTAGAATATTACATATAAGTTAGGAACATAAATTAGAAGACTACATATAAGTCAGATACAAAAATAGACAAATAAAATTATATGTTACCTATAAAAAAAATGTATATAAAATACTATTATTCATTGTCTAAAATATGAAAAAACAAAAAAAACAAAAAAAACAAAGACAAATATATATCTATGCAACATGCAATATGACAATATACCTACACCATAGGATAATTTATCTACAAGAGTATATACTATACCTCTACCATAGGGTGAACAAAAATAAAAATAATGGCATATAAATTCTCATCTTACTCATTTTAGACAATAGGGATATAATAGGAACAAAAAAAAATTTAAATACAAATCAGTTAAACACAAAAATTTGAATCAACATGTCAAAGATGGAATGTAATCTACGTGGCAAACTAGTCAAGGAACTTGTATCAATAGACAATAATTCGAGGACTAGACCCAATTGGTTGGATTTTTGGACGACTATCAACTTTTCTAAATTAATAATTAAAACTCATCGGAAAATTCCTAGTTCTTTAGTTAATTACTTGTCTCATCATTGAGCCTTGGTAAAACTGTATAATGAGTGGTAAGATGTGAGATAATTGCTTGAGAATAGTCTGCATGGGTTGGTTCAACTAATCCATTGAACATGTTGTTCAAGCTTTCACTTTGCATAATTTGATGAACTTTGAGGCACTAAGGATATGATCTTGACAAGGCTCGACGGAATCAGGTTATGCTTTGTGAAACCCCATATTTTTAAATACATATATTAATATTTCATAAAATTAAATATTTACAATTATTAATCTTCAAAACTATATAATATATCTATATATATATATATAAATATAAATCGTATGGCAAGTTACGTGAAGTTAGCTATTAACTAGTATAGCCTATCAAATGTTATTGCATGGCTTTAATTATTTCAATTCATTTCAGCATTATTTATTATTATTATATATAGATATATATATATATATATACTTACTTTACAAAAACTGTTAGAAAGACATTTATGCTTACTAAGCATTGTTGAAGACTGACGTGTTGCAATGTAGTGTCCTCAAAACCAATTAAAGCATGAGGTGTAAGAATGATAGTTATTCCTATATATATAAACTTGATAGGAGAGTGCTCACTAAGCACTCTACAAAGCCAACACAAAAGGCTATTTGAGAGTCTAGGAACCTATAGACTAATTAGGTGGCACAACATTAAGCTTCATCTAACCGACTCTAGCTTACTATAAATAGGTCTACTCAATAGTTCTTTGATCATAGGTACTTCAAGTGTGTTAGTCTCCTAAAAATCATAGACAGAAGAAAGAAAGAGTGAAGTATGGTGAGATTTTGGAGAAGCTCAAAGTGTTTGGACTTACAATTGGGAGTTATACAATAGCTTTGGATTTGAGGTAGGGGTTTTTCTTGGGGAAGTTTTGTTTTGCATACATTGAGTTAATTAAACATTGTAAATACTACATTATGCTTGATAATATTTGATTGTTGTTATGCTTGGTTATATTGTTTGATTGTTATCCTTGATATTAGATGTTTACATGTTGTCAATTATCATTATAATTTGATTAATTTTGACATATTCATATGTTGTCGGTGGTGGTTGGAATTTTTTTATGGAAAAGTGGATAATGGGAAGTATCTTTTGTGTAGTTGAGTCTAACCATTGTTGGGACCAAGTTCAGGCGAGTCCGTGTGCACAGTAGATTAGGAAATCGGCGATATAATTGTCGATTGGGTGATTTGGGCTTGGAGATCAATGGTGTAGACAAGATGACTAGCAAAATGAGAATTATGGGATGATTGAAATGGGTGTTACTTTATATAATGGGGCATTCGGAATCACAGTGGTAAATGCATGGTATGGGACATGCAGATTTGCTTGCCTTATTATATAGATTAACGGGTTGGGTAGAATTGAAATTCATTCATGCATTGCATAAATTGTACATTATAATCTCATTAATCACATAAGACATAGGACCCCTACTGAGCATGTAATGCTCACCCCTTATTGAATCTATTGCAGGCTTTGAATCTGAAGTGTAGTTTTTGCTGAGGAAACAACATGAATGGATTATGGATAGTTTTGAGTGTTTTGTTGAAAGTTTGTTACTTTCTTGTTATTTTGCTTGTAATAGTACAATGTAAATTACTTTGACTTGAATGGAAGTTTATGTTCAATCTTCATGTTTCTTGATATTTAAATTTTTTAGTTTTAGTTTTTCTTTTACCTCACATTCCCAAATAATAATAATAACAATAATAATTGGGGTGTGACATGCTTGTTGGCCTGATGAAGGATGGGAAGAGATTTTTTTTTTAATTAATAGATTGCAATTGTTGATTGCTGTTGGCATTCTTGATTGATGTAGTTAATGGTGGCCATGGAGGAAGAGGGATAGAAGTAGAGCCAACGGTGGGCACGGAGAAGAGATACAGAGAGAGAATCATGGGAACTGTGCAATTCATAATTAGTCTATTAAAATAATAGTAATTTTAGGCAAAAAGTATTATTAAAAATATAGCAATAAATAGTAGTGAGATTTAATCTCAGCAATTTATAATGTGTTAATCTAATAGTCAAGAACTTGTGTCAAAACCATGTGTCAAAAACAGTGGTGGATCTATGCACAGGGCAGGATGGGTTCCTGCCCATCCCAAAGTTTTTTTTAATTTTTAAAACCTACATATGTTATAAGGGCAGTCCAAAATTTAAAAAATAAAAGCTAACCCAATACACATGTTGCCCATCCAAGAGGAAGTGGTCCCATATCTTCTCTCTCTTCTCTTTGGCTACATCACATCAGCTTGTTTATCTCATCTATTCTATGGCAGTCTGACGGCAGCAACATCTTCTTTCCCCTTTTATTTGTTGCATCTTCCTGTTATCTTGGCTGGGCAGTGGACAACTTGGCAGTATATTTTCCTCTACTTTCTACAACAAAAAGTATTTTCTAA